AGAAGTGGTAAACGTCTAAGACATGCATCACTTCCGGCTTTCCTCCCACATTAAGCTGACACGTCGTGATATAACTGGAATAATGTTAAAAGCGGCGTTAAACCCAACTCATTCACTCACTCACTCACTGATGCTTAAAAAAAGGTCTTACTTTATACAGTTCATGCTCCACATTCAGTTATGAAATACACACCTATCCAACTGACACTAACAGGTTAGGCCTACCGTATGTCCTTTATTAGACGTTGGGCCTGAAATACACACTGGTATCTATGTGACTCCAGGTCATATGTCCTGGCCTCTAATAGAGGAAATACGGTACTTATAATCAGTCATGTCTCCCATCAATTTTAACTAGCAGCGATTCAGTATTGATACGTCCTGAAAGTTTCACCTGATGGCACAATACAGGATACACAAAACTTAATATACAATACATGATATACAAACCTCAATACATGATAAATAAACCACAATATACCTTACCACAACACGCAACACGCCTATCTGAGGATAGATTTATTATGCTTCAATATCGCGACACATATTGTATCATGGCTAAAGCAACACAACCCATACCGTCTCATAACTCCAGAATCGCATCACGTATTATGACTCAAGTATCACAACACATAGTGTATCATGACTCAAGTATCACGACACATTGTGTTTATAATGACTCAAGTATCACGACACATATTATGTTATGACTCAAGCATCACGACACATAGTGTATTATGACTCAAATATCACGACACATAGTGTATTATGACTCAAGTATCGTGACACATATTGTATTATGACTCAAGTATCATGACACATATTGTGTTATGACTCTAGTATCACGACACATATTGTGTCATGACTCAAGTATCACGACACATATTGTGTCATGATGCAAGTATCACGACACATATTGTATTATGACTCTAGTATCACGACACATATTGTGTCATGACTCTAGTATCACGACACATATTGTGTTATGACGCAAGTATCATGACACATATTGTATTATGACTCTAGTATCACGACACATATTGTAATATGACGCAAGTATCACGACACATATTGTATTATGACTCTAGTATCACGACACATATTGTGTTATGACTAAAGTATCACGACACATATTGTGTTATGACTCAAGTAGCATGACATGTATCGATATATGTGAGGTTGGCGTATTGTGTCAACCCTGAATCATATCAATTATTTATCAAGTTAGGAACATATCTTAGTTCTAAGTTTTACCATCCCAACTGTCACTGTTATCATCTGGTCCTAATCTTTGTTAGCTGGTAACCATGGCAACCTTGGTTGAAAGACAGTATAGGAGAGGTAGGAGCACCTGACCTGTTGTTGCAGTTACTGTCCTCATCAATCAGAAACATAAATAAACAATAGTAGCAGTATTTACTTTTATCTATCTTATTTTTGTTTGTTACTTCTTAATGCCACATCCATGACACAACATTCTTACACAACACAAACAAAGGTTGTTACGTGTTTATCCAGCGTTAGAAATTGGCACTAGTCCTATAGTCCTTACCAAACTGCCCAATAGTAAAGGTATCCTAAGGACTAGTAGAAATTGGCCAATTTTAAGGGTTTGCTATGTTATCATTATAAGGACTAGTGGACAAAAACTGTTGGTTTCTAACCCTGGTTTAACTATACAAGATAGTTGACCTTTAACCCTGTGCAAGTATATACCAAGACGAGTCAGAGCAGCCACTTAAATCCAGTGATGCAGCTGTCAGTCTAAACTAGGTAGCTGTCTGCACCAGACTGATGTGGGATATATATGATGTATCGGACGCTTGGTAACATATGTATCAAAGAAGGGTTATAAAAGTACCATGACTCATGGAGTATTATGAGGTTGAATACTGACACAGAATACAATGGAATAGGTCGGTTTCCTAACTGTAGTTTGTGTATCATTGAATATACAGATTTACCATTTGACTTTAGAAACCAGTAATGACCAGATCAATGATGAGTTTCACACACAAATTAATTCCATGTCATATGATATACTGTCCCCTATTTGTCAGTGTTATTCCCTTACCAAACAGGACATGATCTAATCTTCTGAATCATATCTCCCTGCACGATCACACAACTCACATTCATGACTTCAACAATTGTGGTCTCTTACTTAGAAAGTCTTGTTTAGCATGTTTAATGAACCAGACTTCAACAATTGTGGTCTCGTACTTAGAAAGTCTTGTTTTGCATGTTTAATGAACCAGATTTCAACAATTGTGGTCTCTTACTTAGAAAGTCTTGTTTAGCTTGTTTAATGAACCAGACTTCAACAATTCTGGTCTCTTACTTAGAAAGTCTTGTTTTGCATGTTTAATGAACCAGATTTCAACAATTGTGGTCTCTTACTTAGAAAGTCTTGTTTAGCTTGTTTAATGAACCAGACTTCAACAATTCTGGTCTCTTACTTAGAAAGTCTTGTTTAGCATGTTTAATGAACCAGACTTCAACAAGTGTGGTCTCTCACTTAGAAAGTCTTGTTTAGCATGTTTAATGAACCAGACTTCAACAATTCTAGTCTCTTACTTAGAAAGTCTTGTTTAGCATATTTAATGAACCAGACTTCAACAATTGTGGTCTCTTACTTAGAAAGTCTTGTTTAGCTTGTTTAATGAACCAGACTTCAACAATTCTGGTCTCTTACTTAGAAAGTCTTGTTTAGCATGTTTAATGAACCAGACTTCAACAATTGTGGTCTCGTACTTAGAAAGTCTTGTTTTGCATGTTTAATGAACCAGATTTCAACAATTGTGGTCTCTTACTTAGAAAGTCTTGTTTAGCTTGTTTAATGAACCAGACTTCAACAATTCTGGTCTCTTACTTAGAAAGTCTTGTTTAGCATGTTTAATGAACCAGACTTCAACAATTGTGGTCTCTTACTTAGAAAGTCTTGTTTAGCATGTTTAATGAACCAGACTTCAACAATTCTGGTCTCTTACTTAGAAAGTCTTGTTTAGCATATTTAATGAACCAGACTTCAACATGTGTGGTCTCTCACTTAGAAAGTCTTGTTTAGCATGTTTAATGAACCAGACTTCAACAAGTGTGGTCTCTCATTTAGAAAGTCTTGTTTAGCATGTTTAATGAACCAGACTTCAACAATTGTGGTCTCTTACTTAGAAAGTCTTGTTTAGCATGTTTAATGAACCAGACTTAAGCATATCTTGCCAAGCAGGTCACAAGATATGATTCTTGCCTTTGTGACAATGAGTAAAGAAAAATCATTCAGAATGCAGTGTTTTCTGGAGGTATTAACTCTGCTTCACTGTACACGGAAGGGAGGTGAGTTGTGTCTTGAATCTGATCTCGTTAAAATCAAATCTTTTACTCTGATAGGATCTGACAAAGATATTACAAAACCAGCATAGGAGGTAGGAAGGTGAACCCTGAGCAAACTTTGACCTCCCAATCAAAATGGGAGCGTGTGTGTGTGTGTGTGTGTGTGTGTGTGTGTGTGTGTGTGTGTGTGTGTGTGTGTGTGTGTGTGTGTGTGTGTGTGTTTCTTGAGCCAATCAGATGTCCGTTTTCTAAAATGATTCAGCTTCATTTCATTACATCTATTAAGAAATTCCACACAGAGAACACAAATATACCCTTGATAGCAGAAACTTTGGTGTAGGTGCCATGATGCTCAGAAATGAGTTTATAATATCCACAACAAAATAATCAATGACAAAAGTGTGGACTTTATTTTTTTCCATTTTGAACTGGCCAGTTTTGTGTATCTTCAAGATACAGAAATGAGGTGTTTAGTTCTGATTTCATTTGCCACACTGTGAACCTAGAAGCCTGTATATTGTAGCATGACTTTATCACTTACTATTTTCATACATATTGCTATTAAAAGGAGTGCATTGTTTCCACCCTGATCAGGCCACTTAAACTGTCATTCCACCCTAACATTTAAGTTCAAGCAAGTTTGTAGTCATTCAGAACAGTTTGTCTGACTGCTTACTTAAATTTTATGATCAATATCAATCTAGCAGTTAATGAAACCTGAGTTACGCTGTCAGTGTGTTGGGCTCACATGCACAACAATATCTGCACTACACTGGACTGGGGTCGTCATTTCTGCCAAAATTTGATTCTTCAAAGAGGTGAAATTATGTAAACGAACAGACGCCATATTGGAAGTGATGAATACTTATCATGCTTATGTCCAACGACTGTGTATATAATATTGTTTAAATAACTTTTCTGTTTAAATAAGTGTGGATATTTAGGATATTTACTCCCTTTGTAAATAGAGAGACATTTTTTTTTCAATGTAACTATATTAGGTTGGCCCAAACTGTTATCCTTTAATTTCAGTTAAATATATCAAAATTACTAATATTTAAATAATTCAATAATTACACTTAATTATAGGGCAAAGTAACCCACCTATTACAAATATAAACAATGAAACCCAAATACGGGAAGTGGTACACAATATGATGTTAAAAGTATTCTCCGGAAGAAATACTTGACATGCATTTTGTGTTGGTTTATAGTGTTTATTTTCAGGCATTTTTCCACAGTTTCAACCCACCAGCAAAGTTTGGATGGTGACATTGCAGTGGTCACTGTCGAATTTGTAAAGAAGTTGGGCGATATTTCCTACGACTTGTATTTACAGGCCAAACTAAGTTTGTGTCATCACTTCCGCGTTGTGTTATCTCAACACAAAACGCTTGGATATGTTAAGTGGCGTAATGAGAACTTTGAAAACAAAGTCAGGAGACTGTGGTTGCAATAATGAACGCTCTGATACATGATAACAGCGGGTAGTTAACAATCTTGATATTTACAAGTGACAGAAATATACGTAGCATAGGGAACACTTGAACTGCAAATTGTTATCGCCAGTTCACATGCTGAACGCCGTTTGCTTGCATGCCGTGTGCTTCCTACAACATACAAGGCAATGGAAATACAACATATAAAAATATAAATGATAGAATTCCAACCTGTATATACACGTAGATAACGCTGGAATGGGAATGTTTATATCATCAATCGTTGCAGATCCATGCACTCAATCCTCACTCAACTTCGGCCATTTGAGGACAAGTTACATTTCTCTTCCGGGTCAAGCACAAGCACTTCCCAAATATGGTAACGTGGGCCGCAGCAGGTAAGGAAGTAAACTGCCTAAAAGACATAAATGAACTTTGAAGGGAATGAATACCCCAATTATATGAAAATATAATATGAATTAACTTAAATATTGTTTGTAAAGTTGACGGTAATGAAAATCTCGTCGCAACGCGATGGCTATTTTTAACCATATGTAAACAAATCCACGTGCAGGCGAACTTGAAAGTGCTAACAGTGAACCTCATTCTTTATAACATAATGCATTCATCATTTTAACATCCCGATAACTTTCAAGTATTTACCTCATGTTACACTCTTTTTATGCTTTTTGTATTAGCACAGCACGCACCTGTTTCGAAAAGACTGACCTCATTACAAGGTCAACACACCACGTGCTCTACGTCACTCATGTGTCGTCTGCTAGCAGTTCGCTGTCTTCAGAGCAGAAGTTACAAGGAAGGATGTGTGCGGTCGGTGTAACCCATGAATAATGTCAGGTAAAAAGAATCCAACGGATACGCAAATATTTGTTCTTTAAAAAAATGTAGGGTTGTCACTGAATGCAAATTTTCAGGATCGATTCATGCTTATATAGATAGCCCTATATGTAATGTCACGTACGAAATATCAGCGTTAGAAACTGGCACTAGTACTATAGGTCTATATAGTCCTTGCCAAACTGCCCATTGCTAAAGGTATCAGAAGGACTAGTAGAAATATGCCCTTTTTAAGGGTTTTGCTATATGTTATCATTATAATGACTAGTGGACGAAAACTGTTAGTTTCTAACCCTGAATATGCCTTTGAAGTGATAGCATCGAGCTTGAATGTCATTTCGAAGTCTGAAATCTAACCTTTTGAAGATTTCGATCATTGTGATGTGTTTTCAATGTCATATGTTTCTCATACTTCTTAACATGATTCAGACTGAACATCAGAGGTTCATATTACTGACCTCAAGAAAACCCAATATATAGATATATATACGTACCTTTCTTTTAACCTTGTTGCTGGCGATCTATAGCCAATTTTTATATCTGTCCTACCCAAATAATCAGATATTTTTAATGTTCTACAACTAGTTTTAAGTCAATCTGTGATATATTGCTAGTTATTATACTGTCCTTTGTTGACAGTTTTTATAAACATTGTAAAACTTGTTCAAGTCACATTATGGCTGAAATATTGCAGACGTGACTTTAAATAGAACTCACTCACTCACTCTTTTCAAAGCAGATTAGGCCAGTGTTAGGCCAGATCTATAATTATAGTGGCATATAAACATGAACATGGGCCCTACATTTTTGTAGCTCAGTGGTTGGGGGAACAAACTTAAACACTTCTTGCCACCTTCAATCAATTCCACAAGACTCGATCTTGTCAAGAACAAAACTAAATAGGCCAAGCATGTTATCTATGAAATATGAAATTATATTCATTCAAAATTTTCATTTTGTGTATTAATACATTAGCATACAATAAATACTGACAGATTGCATCACTTTGTCACAATTATCAATGACAAATCTAATATATAAAGGGAGATGTGCATAATTATCCCTATTTGTAAAATAGTATCACAAATTGAAGTGTTATATCTATCTTTCAGTTCAGTTTAGTTTTCTTGATACATATTTGTTACATTCTTAATGTGGATTCCAAAACTATCCTTCAATTAGAACAGGATTTATTTCTAGGTCTGGGACGATACACCAACTATGCAATCTGATATATATCACGATACCTAGCTCACGATCCGATACGTTTTGCGATACTTTCATGTGCTTTTATCTGTGGTGCGTAAGCCATCTTTTTCATAGACAGGATTGCTAAATACCTGGCACACTAATGATTAACAGTTGGCTGTGTCAGGTATGGCGCAATGGATGAAAATATTTACATTTTCACGAGTAATTAGTGTTTGGTGTAACACTTATTCAAGAAAACATTTAAGGTAGGAATAGATACTTTTTACCTAGTGTGAAACTGTGATCGAGAAGTAAAAAATCGTAATCCACCGATGCATGAGTATATCGTCCCACCACTATTTATTTCTTTTTAATAAGGGTAAGTCCTGGGGACAATCAACAGGTAAGTAGACAGCACTACTTCAGAACTATTTCAAGTTGAAAACCCAGATGAATATTACAGCAGTCCATTCCTATACTGGTTCATTGTTTGTCTTCGTTTGTTTAATAACTTTTAACTACCGGTATGTCAGCGATTTGTCTGGAACTGCTAAGGGGCCAAATGTAACTTGTCCTCAAATGGCCGAAGTTGAATGAGGATTGAGTGCATAGATCACTGCGAGTGATGATATAAACAATCCCATTCAAGCGCTATCTACGTGTATTTACAGGTTGGAATTCTATCATTTATATTTTTATATGTTGTATTTTCTTAATTTGCCTTGTATGTTGTTGGAAGCACACAGCATGCAAGCAAACAGCTTACAGTCTGTGAACTGGTGCAATTTGCTGTTAAAGTGTTGACTGCTGCATATTTTTCTGTCATTTCGAACTATCAAGATTGTTAACTATCTTTATTCGGCCCCAAGTTTTGAAGCTATTGTCAGTAAAAATTTCCAATTTGGGATAAAACAGTTGCCAAGTTATGCTGTTTAGTAATAGTAATAACTAATGAAAATGTTTTGAAGAGGTAACTTGTATTTCACTGATAACAGGACCAATAACAAAGAAAAGGCTTTAATTAGTTTATACTTTTGCATTGATATTATATTATACCCTGGAATATTTAAGAAAAAAAGTCTTTAAGAAAAGCTCCAATTTTGACACAGTTATGTTTTTTCCCCCATTTTGGCGCTGTGTTTGGATTGGAATCTTAGATAACTTCATGTATATGTAAGTGTAGCATTTTATGACTAAGTCCCTGACATCTTTGGCAGTGGATTCTACACAATATTGGATTAACCTACATGAAACAATGGAACAAGTTCAAACAAGTTTAAGGAATGCTTTTTGTGTATGGCATACAATCTCAAAACAAGCATTTATAACTCAGGCCCATATAAATAAGATCAAATGGATTAAATCAAAAGGGCAAGCCCAACATGGACATCACAAAATGCACCATGGGAATAGTTTATGAAAAGAATCCATGCCTACACAGTATTAATATTGTATGATTCAAAATTCAGTTAAAATACGAAGAAAAAGGGCTGTATTACATCATGTGAATAAGTGAGAATATCTTTCGAATTTCAATTTGTTCATATTCTAAGACCTTGCTGAATATTCTTTAAAACATCTTAAATATTCTTTGAAACTTATTAATGATATGGAAGAGTGTCCTGTCCAAGACGGACAATGTCATAGTACTGGTCTAGAATGTATAAAACCGGCTATTGCAAGCAATTCACTGCTGTCTGATTGGCGGTGCTTAAACAGTGGGTATATCACATACCCCGGTATATTACATTACTGAAATTGAATGTCACATAAGCATTGGTGAGAGGAGGTGTTTAGTATGAAACTAACTGGTATCCAATTCCTATCCCGATGAAGCATTATTATCCGTGGAAATGTCCACAACAAGGAAGTGGGAGTATTTGCATAACATTTTATTGATGTATGATTATCAAAAGATGTATCTTTGTCAGATTTGTTGAATGTTTTATGTTACAGGAATAGCTGACAAGAGTGGCCTGGTACTATATTACTTCAAAGTGGATTTACTGATATGTGTGAGGGAAACTGCTTTTGAATCATGAATTCAAACAGTGTGGATATCAGCCCTGTGAGTCCTATACGCAAACATGATGCAGTGTCTATTTCAGATTACAGCATTTCATTGCCTCCTCCAAACACTTGTAAGGCAAGCAGCTTACCAGAGGTAATGCTTAATAATAGTTGTAATATAACTGATGACCATGATACATGCAAGATGAGTTTTGATAGAGATGATTCAATGAACCACACTCCAGCTGCATCAACAGATGTACCTTTCAACACACCACAGGATAGCTGCTCTGATGTTATACTTGCTTGCAGGAAAGCTGAAATAATTGATGTCTTGGATGAAGTTTCAAAAACAGTTACAACTTTGTTTTGCAATGAACAAAATGGGATTCAGAGTAATTCTCAATCAAAATGTCAGGAGAAAACTTTGGTTTCTGTGGAAACAGGTAAAGAAACAACAGAGGCTGAAATCAAGAAATTGAGGAGTTTGGAAACTGATCCTGTCTTGTCTATCAGTATTGACAAACTCGACGAAATGTATTGTGAAGACATTAGCCAGTGTGAAATGATCTTGTCACAGTGTGAACTTTCCAAGGAATGTGAATTAATAGATGAAAGTGCCAACATTGAAAAATGTGTGTTGCAGGCAAGTCCATCACTTGGTCATCAGATACATTTTGCTTGTAAATTGGACCTCATGCCTACATGTGATGAGGGCAACCAGCCTTGCAGTCCAGTTAGAGTTAAAATGGAAGAAATGGTATCAAGAAATGATACTGATTTTCTAAAGCAAGTTACTGATGAGAGGGTAGCTTTTGGCAGAAAGAGCTCTGTTACTGGGTATGTTTCAGAGAATAACTGTTCAGATTACAGCTCAGATGATCCTCAGGATTCAGAAATGGACAATTATAGCCTGTGTGAAAATGGAGCGCATGAAGGCAAATCAGTTTATCAAAAGAACATTTATGTTAGCCCTGATGTTTCTTTGAACACCAGTTTCACTGCAGGCAGTGAGTTTGGGGGGAAAATATCTGATGATCACATGATTGGAGCATTTGACAGGCATCTTATTGAAGATGTCAAGATAACCATAGACAATATTTTAGAAAAATGTTCAAAAGTGTGTGTGATGGATTATGGAAATTCACACACCAGCATCAATCAATATGAAGGAGAACAGTGTGCCTTAGGGAGGAACAGTTTGGATGTGAAAACAGATAATGAGAGTGAAGTGACTGGCTTGTGTTCTGATTGTACATTACTTGCTGAAAGACTGAGAGCAGATTCATGCCACACAAAACCCATTACAATCAATGAAGCTAATATCAGTCACTTGAAGACGATCAGTGAACCCTCTGCAGATTGCCAAGTTCCTGTGGCCATGCCTTGTCACGATAACAAGCACCAGGGTATTAGAAGGTCTCATGAAAATCTTGCTGCATTAGTCTTGCATTCATCTGAGAATAGCACTCATGAAACTGAGAAATGCATTCAAGATTCTCTAGAGCCAAAAGATCCTAGCATGCAATATACTCAGGTGAGTAAGAACTTGTCACAAACTGAGAATAGCTCAAGTGGGGTATCACTGTCACCACTGAGACCAACCCTTGAGGACAGTTCCTCTGATGAAGGTCAAAACCTAGATAATGAGAACTTAAGGCAGGATGAAAAAATACTTTTTGGAGATGTTCAATTGATAAAACAAGATTTGATCAGTGGTAATGCACAGTATGATCAAGGAGAAATGCAGGTTCCAGAACAGTCTCCTTTATCAAGCGAAAATTTGACAGATTTTCATGTTGGTAGTGCATTGATAGAAGAGGGGCCCACTGTGCATCTGCCCACTCCATTTGAAGAAGTAGGATTAGTTCCGCAGAACAAGGACATTTATATAGGAGGAAATGATTTGATGGAAGCATACACTAACTTTAACGATTTACAAAATGACAATGAAACTGGTGCCAGAAATGTTGAAGAAAGTCACACATGGGATGAGTCCAGTAAACAGAAAAACATTCAGTTTGAAATTGTACATTCTCATAAAGATGTGAATGTTTTGTCACTTGACTCTGATGAAAATGGATTTCCTTCCAGAAGCATGACAGCGGTATGTCCACATATTTTGAGAGATGTGTCACCACTACAAAATCAATCTGAAGATAATATTGACCTTGAGAGGTCAGATGTGTCAACAGTTGAAACACAGAGAGGAAATGGATATTTGACATGTTCAGTCGAAGAAAGTGTATTATGTTGTTCCCTCCCGTGTTCAACAGAACAGGTCAGTTCTGTTCCAGAGCTAGGATCGACATGTTTTCCAAGAAATCATCATATACAAGAAACTTCAACATGTTCAACATATTCTCGGCTAATGAATAACAAAGGAACCAATGACCCTGTTAGTGGAGAAACTGAGTGTTTTTGCACTCAACAGTTTACAGCATCAGTTTCACAAGCCAGCATTGCAGAATACCTGGGAGACACAACTGAGGATTATGGACAGGCCCCAATTGATCAGATGCCTGTTCCAGGAGAGGAGGGGCTATCGGTAGCAGACCCTGGAGATGACCATACCGTTCCAGCTGACTTGCATCTGCCCACAGATGAATCAGATGTAGTGATGTATGAAGAAAACACACTCCAAATAAAAGGTTTGTAAATGATATTTTTATCACTGTCCCCAGGGGTAGAAATTAACATTTTTAGCCCACTAGTCCTTATAATGATAACATATAGCAAAACCCTTTAAAATGGCACATTTCTACTAGTCCTTATGATACCTTAACTATTGGGCAGTTTGGCAAGGACTACAGGACTAGTGCCAATTTCTAAGGCTGGTCCCAATAACTTTCAGTTCAACTTAATCTTTAGATATTGACTATTAATAGCTTAGCTTACTAGAAGTAAGTTTACAAGACTCACAGCCTGTACATATTCTTTAATATAATGATCTAAAGTTACACACATCTTACTCTGTTTCTTTAATGACATCTGTATGTTCCTCATGGTATTTATTGCATTAAGTAACGTTTGACATTGTGATGAACAATTTTTGCAGAACAATTTCCATATCAGGGCTTTATCCCCCTGGATGCCACGAGAACATATATATCCCTCCTCTTCGTTCCTCTCTTTGAAGTCGAATCAAATTCCATAATACAAATACACTTCACAGTTTTGGATTCTCAGGGTTAGAAATTGGCACTAGTCCTATAGTCCTTGCCAAACTGCCCAATAGTTAAGGTATCATAAGGACTAGCAGAGATTTGCCATTTTTAAGGATTTTGCTTTATATTATCATTTATAAGGACTAGTGGACCAAAAATGTTAGTTTCTACCGCTGATTCTGCATGAAGTTATCTGTTCTGTGATCTCATCTGCTGTCATTTTTTAAATCTTAATGTCACATATTTACTTGGAGAATTTAATTACAAAACTTAAAAATAGGATATCAGTGATCTGGTTTTTTTTATCAAATCACCAATTATCATTCTGAAATGTTGCTGTTTAGAATCATCTAGAATGTTTTTGAAAATATGCAAACACGAAAAAATCTAAATGTCAAATATTAACTTGGAGAATTTAGTTACAAAAATTAAAAATAGGATATTAGTGTGGGTTTTTTTTTTATCAAATCACCAAAACATAATCACCTGTCTGTTTTGAACATTTTATACATTAGAAATTGACAAACTAACCATTGTATACCATATTTCTTACCTTTAGACAAGACAAATTTAGTGTTAGAAAATGAAATGTGAATAAAACTTCAACATGTACATATTTCCTTTCATGTAAACAGGTGAATGAATAGCCATTTCATTTTTTTGTTAACTAAAACTGAATGTATTACTTTGACAAATGCATAAGATATTTATTAAATATATATATATATATGCTTATAATTTTAGAAGGAATTTTCTTGGTCTTGGAATTGTCTTTGGTTGTGTGATTGACTTTAATGTCTAGCGATTTGCCAGGTGCTCATTAGTCACAAACAATTTATGATTTTCTCCTCTTGTTTTGTATAATGTTATCAGGTGTTTTTTGGAATATTGTAATCACAGGATATTAAACTGTTTACTTTATTTCAACAAGGATTGTAAAAAATATATATACCCCTTGCCATGTACCTCGTTGGTCGGACCTTATACAATTATCCAGATAATTCCATACAAAAGAGGAGCTTTATTTGCTATCTTTTATCATATAATTCAGAGACAAAATGAAGAGAAATAACCACATAAAAATGAACAAATACATGTCCTATATTATGTGTATAATTTTGTACGTTTTGAAATATGTTTGATTGACGTTAAGTTGATGCCAAACAGGTACTTGTCCAGTTAAGATATGTGGTATCTAATTGTTTTTCTGTTCAAAACATTATTTACATGGTAAAAACATTTCATTTAAAGTTGTCAAATGTTTTAGGAATAAAAAATATTGTACTTATTTACATGTTCATTAGGGCCATTCATTTTGCTATTACTTACTAATCTAGAACATTATACATAAGCATATAAATCCCTTTTATATATATTTATGTTGTTCAGATATTAAGCTGTATTTTGTTCGCTCACAGTGTCCTTGAAGTTGTTAAAAATATAGAAATGTTGCACAGTAATCGTACAAAAAAAAGCGTTGAAATTTGCTGTTCTTTTTACGCATAAAAAAATCTCATTCAACACTTAGCATTGTATGTGTTTCAAATCAGTTTAATGTTTGCAGTTACTTCTACACCCTCAGATAGGAAATTTAATATTTTACATTCTTTTAATAGTCTGAGTAATTTTATAGTCAGAGGTAGACCCAGTGTCATGCAAGCGCAATTCTTTCATATTTAATTTTTGGAGCTTAATAATAAAAATAACTTCCAATCCAGGGGTTTTGTTTGCTTGTTTTTGCAAAGAGATATTACGGAAATTAAAAAACAAACAAAACAGTTAGCTTCACGATTGTGATGCTGAAGGTAGTTTTCAGGGTAAGTAACTTTCCAAATGGTTGTTAAAATAATACTGAATTCAATGATGAGAATGGGACCAATGTTATCTGTTGTTTATGTTGATAATGTGTTCCATGAAAGGAAAAATATGCAATAACATGTCTAGAAATCATTGTTTTGGAAAAGTAGCAATTCATTACAACAAATATTTTTTCAGAAAGCAAAATACAAGTTTCAAATTATAGAATATAAAATATATAATGCTATTGGAACAAGCCCAGGGTTTCAGAATGGGTCATTTTCTTGGACATTTAATGGTTTTCATCCAAAAAGTCCTTAAGTCCCTTCTACATATGGTAATGATATAGAAGAATCATCAGTTTATAAAATCATGTCTCTTTGCCGTTTGTCTCTAGCAAATTCGCTTTCAATATAACGTGTCGAACAGGATGTCTTGCTTGTAGGCCTGCTGCTCTAAAATGGTTTCATACGGTCTGGTCGGAGATTCTGCGCAGTCCGGGTATTTGGAATACAGTTGAGGTGGCTGTGGTCATCCTTTTATGTAGGTGGCACAGTCGGATGTAGTGATCTTGGGTGGGGGTGGTTACTCTTGGTTGTCCTGACCTTGGCCGAAACTGATCCTAAAGCCTTGTGATGGTGCTGGGAGCTACATTGAAAACTCTGGCTTCAATTGACACAGGTGCCAGGCAATCAAAAACCCTGCACTTAAATACCGTTCATAGTGCTTCTGCACATACAGTGCGTGCAGCTCCATGGCTTTTTTGTTAATGCACTGGGTACGTTTTTCCAAATCGTACGTGTTTCCCGACTAATGGTTTGCTTGTCCTTGTTGTGATCATTTTCATCCGGGCAATTTGTCGTAGACACTATAACACGTTAAACCTCTTTATTTTGCACCTCTTGGACGCTAATTTTGATTTTATGGCCAAAAATATCCGTATTGCGTTTCTATATTTTGAAGAGCATATATTGACATTGCAGGATCCCCAACATCATGTGAAACTTAAATTTGAAGTTATTTATTTGAGGAATGTCTTTACAACTCAAGTCACATGCTGCTGATTTTATTGTTTATAGATTTTCAACTAATTATATAATTTAAATGTTTTTGAAATATTGTATGAAATATAATGCCATAACTTTTACGTTTTGTATTCTGTGAAATCCTAATGTTGCTTGTATATTAAATGATGTTTTGCTCAGTATACTTTCAATAAATTTTGACTGTCATTGCCTGTTGTTGTGGTGGTTGTTTTCAGAACGAGAATGTCAGCAGGCCCTTGTTCCCACATCACCATGTTTCAAGTGGAAATATGCACCTTCAGCTAACCTTGATGACATATCACCTGGACCTAAAGACTCAAAACAATATGGTAGGATTATTGTCTTCACAGTGTCATTCTCAATCATGAAATGATAAAGCCCCATTCATTTTCATGTCCTTTTTGGACTTATATTCATTTGAAAAACTAGGGTACAAAGAAATTCAATTGGGTCCCATATGAAGTTTAACAGTTACTGACACAAACATAGAAGTAAAAAAGTTTTGACAGAGTTGTCCCCCTTGATGCGCAACCTCATCCCTTACTGTTTGATTGGCATTCTGGAAGTTGGAGAGTAAATAACAAAGCATACAACTTTATGGATAACATCTTCTAATTTATTGCAGATGGGGATGTTTCGATGTAGATACTACACTGTTAAATCTACATGAAAATGTCGCCATATGCAATAAATCAGTAGTTGTTATCCATAAAGTTTAATGCTTTGTTAACCTCATCACTTAAGCATGAACAAATTGTAATTTTGTGATTCCTTCGTTTTATTATATTTTCTCTTCATTAATTACAGATGAGGATTCTTTGCTGACAATTTACCCACTGAGGACTTGTAGGAGACCAATTAGGGTTGGACTTTCTAAACGATTCAGAGCCAAACCACTTCATGAGAAATTGAAACCTTGATCCTGTAAAATTCTGCAATCCTTATATATCTATAGTGTTCACTGCAGCGAATGTTGGGAACTTGAAACACCAGTTTCATTCAGCAACTAAGAAATCAGCTTTGTTTAATGATTACTCATGTGATTACCAATTAATGAACAAAATCCACTCAAGATGAGCTTTCTTTCTCCTCCAATGAGAAAATGAATAGGTTTCTGTTGTCAAATATTTGTTTGTTCTTAAAACTGAAGATTTACGTTAATGTTATGACAAGGAACCCTTGACTTACTCTTTATTTCAAAAGTAGTTACTTTGGTTAAGACAAAGTTTATGAATGGAATTAAGTTTGCAGGCTAACCTTGCTTACGATTTATCACTTTAACAATGTTCAATCACTTTTGAAGGAAAAGAGAGAGACTTGTGAAACTTAAATTCATTTTAAGTTTATTTGTTGTCTCTATCTCTTGATCTCATTGTTTAATGAAGAACGATGACATTTTATTTAGAAAATACTCATTAAACAGAATATGGAACAAAACATCATATTATTTTACTGGTATATAGTTGTCACATCCACAACACTGACCTATTTTCACTGCTCAAAGCTAAGTGTAGCTTTATATGATAATCAGGATGGATAACATTTGAGGCAATTCACTTCAATACCAGCACTCCAATTCTCACATCAGGCCCTGACTGTTGGTCTATTTCATCTCTCTGAGGAGCCTAGGATAGGATGAGTAATGTTTCTCGCCATGCCAGGGTTATAGGATATGAGACTGATGGGTCAAGTATTGACTAGGTTGGAATAATTCCCAAGCACTCAATTGCTTGTCATAAGTGGGGACTAAATTAGAGTGGTGGTCAATATTTGGATGTCTACTAGGTATACATGCATTTTAATATGTTCATGATTTGATGCCTGGATTATGTGGGCATGATTGATATTGTGTTTGAGTAATTGCTGATGAGCAGTCCAGGTATGTTTGAGTCAGGTCATCAAACGAAACTTTAATCATCTGCAAACTTAGATTTAGGATGTAGATCCATCTAGGAATAAACCATTACCCTATAAGTTACAAAGAGACTAGTGAAAGTTATGGACTGGTTGTTTTGAAATAAATTGTGATGGTATGCGGTCTGTCCTGTGTACAGCACTGAGTGCATAAGTCACAAATTGGATGAAGATGAGCAATGCTGGTTGCAGAGAGTAGTTGGATGGGTGACTGTGTTTGGCATCTTGACTACTGAGAGATTCTTGGGGTTCAGTGCTGCCCCACCCTGAGGCACAAGTGGCACATGTGGTCTCTCCTGAGGCAAGTGAGTTTGTTCCAACTGAGCCTCTGTTCATCCAGCAGTGAATGGGTACCCAGTAGGATGAGATGGTAATGTGACTGTTAAACTTGAAGACGAGCGCCTCACATGCAGCATGGGTTGTATACTTTCCATTGAGATAAGAATAAAAATCAAGTGCACACTTATCCATTAATCCATTGCCCTGAACATTCATTTGGTGAATTTATTAGTTTGATTTAACTTACAGTTGACCAATGCTAGATATTGACCCTTGTCAAATAGTAATCAGTGATACCTGAATTAACTGAGGAGTTTCTAAAGTTGTATTTACAAAATAATCTGTAAAATGTCTTTTACAATGTTGTGCATAGAATTTCCAAACATTATGACACTTGACAGGCTATTTCATCTGTCCCAAGATAGTGTAAGAAGTGATGCTCAATACATTCTTCATTGTTTATCATATGCAGAACTTTCACTGAGCTACTGCACATCTTTTTGGAGCTGAATGACATAACAGATTCTAAGTGAACAAATCAGCAGACTCAAATGTGATAATGACGAAGACAGGTTGACGTATGGATTTAAACTTTTGTATTCTTTCAATGCGACATTTCAGTATAGATGCTTGTACTTTTATCACTTGCAGAGTTAGAAATTGGCACTTGTCCTATAGTCCTTGCCAAACTGCCCAATAGTTAAATTATCATAACGACCAGTAGTAATTTTGCCCTTTTTTAAGGGTTTTGCTATATGGTATCATTATAAGGACTAGTGGGCTAGCACTTTTAGTTTCTAACGTTGACTTGCTTGATTAATGTACTTGCATCTGTACCAAAATTCCGCATTGAAAGAATAAAAAAGATTAAATCCATAAGTCAACTCATCTTTCTTTATACTATAGCTTCTAAAATGCCACTTGAAAGATAAATGTGATAATGCCACATGAAATGGCAGTTTAATTCAAAACTGCTTCTACTTTTCTAATATTTAATGCCATTCAGATATTTTTACTGTTTTCAGTACTGAATGGCATGTATATAAACTGTATAATGTAAAGCTGTGTTGCCTTCCACTGGCCTCTTCAGGCGCTCATCTTAGCTGTACCTGTGATAGTATTACTATTTCATGTTAAATGTTATTATATTAGATCTTTGATGTTCATATTTCATATAATAGTTGTGTTCAGTTCTTGGAATCACAAATCAAATCCAAGAGAAAATGAAAGTGTATTTGGACATTCTAGTATGACCATGGTATCAAACCGATGCATTTATCCAAACAATTTCTATTAGCCACATTTGATTTTATGAACTATTTCTGGTATTGCTGAAATTACTCAATACTGTCACAATGAAATACATAATTCATTATTTATTATATTCACTGAAAGTTATTATATATGTTGTTTAACTTATATAAACTGTTAGATCTATACTGAACTGCAAAAGAAACATCACTATGGATAGATATATGAGAAACCTTATTTGTCCAAACACTGTAAACATACTTTGAGACATATTAAAAAGATGAAACTTGGCAAAACTGATCATGAAGGTTGAAATTAAAGTGTCAAATGTTCTTAAAGTGAAACACAACACTAGTCTCTGAGAAAATGGCATCACAAGTCAGTATCTCGTGTCCGCCATGTGCATTGATGACTGCCGTGCAACGTCGATACATGGAATGGATGAGGCGGTTTATGAAGGCCATAGGCACTTGAGCCCACACTCTGAGGAACGCCTGACGCAGTTCAGCGGCAGTTTTCGGCCTTGGTCGGATGTCATTCAGCCGTCCCACTCGTCCCACAGGTGCTCAATGGGATTTAAATCGGGACTGAGGGCAGGCCACTGCATGGTTCTGATGCCATTCTGCTGGAAGAAGTCTCTTGTTGCTCTCGCAGTGTGGGTATGGGCGTTATGCTGAAACTCATGGTTGCGGCAGCGTGCCAAATGAGGTATGGCATGTGGTCTCAAGATGTCCCGAGCTGCTGTGACACCATTGCCTCTCTCTGGACCGATGTTCTGGAAGACCACAGGGCCGACCCTCTGTGCAAGACCAATTCCACCCCACACCATGATGCTCAGACCACCCCACGAGTCTCTCTCAGCGACACAAGCATCCGAATAACGTTCCCAAGGCGGCGTCAGACTCGCTCTCTGCCATCTGCTGTTGAGTTACAGTAACGGCTCTCGTCTGAGAAGAGGACTCTTCTCCATTGCTGGTGGCGCCAATGCTGGTGCTGTGTGGCCCACTGAAGACGGTCCCGGCGATGACGTGGTGTCACAATGGGTCCTCGGTGTGGCCTTTGACAGTGGAGGTGTCGTAGTGTCCTCACTAATGTGTTGCTGGTGTGTCCCAATGGTCTGTTGAGCAGTTTCTGCAGCAGTAACAGAGCGATCTTGAAGATGCTGTCGCACAATCTGACGATCCTGCCGTCAGGTGGTGACCCTGGGTCTTCCACGACGTGGTCGGTTATCTGTAGTGTTGGTGGTCTGGTACCGTTGCTTGAGGTTGTATATGGTCCTTATGTGGACTTAAAATGCATTGGCTACTTGCTGGGCGGTTTGTCCAGCTTGCAATTATCCAAGGGCTTGTTGTCGCTGATTTCTTGTCAATCTTGGCATGTGGTAGCAATTCAATAACGAATGAATGTTATCCAATCTTGGTGGATTATTATAGGGCAAGAAATGGGGAAAGGCATGTGCATTTCAATTTGCAAAGAACTCACGTATATCGGGTTACCATGGCCGTTGCCGTGAAGCATTTGGGCGATCGGTTTTATTGTCATCTGCTTTGTTTTTTTATCACTTTAAATTTCATTTTTCTGGATAAGGTAATATTAAATTTTAGAAACTTTGACAAAAATTACCCAGATAATTAAATGACAACTTTTCATGCAATGTTACTTGGGGTGACGTTTCTTTTGCGGTTCAGTATATGTTTGTTTGTCATGGTTTGTAGTTGTGTAATTCATTGATGACAATAGATCTGTTATTGTGTTATCAATAAATATTTCTTGTAGACTGCATATAGTTTGTATTTAAAATGGGCAGTGGTATAGTCTGGTGTTTAACTCAACATACCAAAGACCCAGGTTCGATCTCTGGTCCAGACTCAATTATTTACAGACTGCCGTCATATAATTTGAATATTGCTGAGTGTGGCGTAAAACAAGAAACCAAATCAAACCCAGGTTCGATCCCCTACATGGGTGCTACGTATGTTGTCCATTCTTGATATCCCCTGCCGAGAAGGAATAATGCTAAAAGTCGCATAACAACATTCTATGCACATGTAGTTTTAATAAAAAGTTCCTCCATTTAATTATTACTCATGCTTCTGTGAGAGAGTGAGCTGGGTTTAAAGCTTCTCTGAACTGTATTCCTGTGATATAGCATTTCACCTTAATGTGGTCGGAAAGCCCAAGGTGATACAGGTGATATATGTTCACCACTGTCAAACATAGGATCCTGCCATACCTAAGGGACACAACACTGCTCAGCACTTTGCAGTGCCTATGATGACTTGGCCACCTGTGCCCATAACACCTGCCAGAATCTTCTCTACTGGTATACAGATGACTTCACTGTGAGTCAGTGACAAAATCAGCTCATGCTCAACTGCTACTTCCAACAATGTCTCCCGTGTGGGAGATTGGTTCCCCGGGAACAGCAAACATAAATGACAAGTGTAAGCAGCATTAGAAATTGCCACTTAAACTGTTAGTTTCTACGGCTGTGATCGGTCAGCATGTCTGAACTGGCCATGCAGCACCTTGAAACCAGCTGATAAGATACTTGTTCAGTTTGATGGGTGCAAGATCAATGATCATGTCTGGAGGTAACACTGAAAAAAGTGTGAGAATACCAAGTGTTGACTTACTGACTGCTCTAGCAATAATTCCCAGTCATGCATAATGTTGATATGTCCTGGATAGTCTTCTATTTATCTCTATTTATTGAACTAAAAAAATTATTTATTGAATGAGTTGGGTTTATACGGAAGGGACATCACACAAGGCAGCCATGTGGGTACTCAAGCAACAAGCAAATGCTACTTTAACCATCAGGCTACCCCACCGATCATATTTGTTGTGGAATGTAAGTGAGTGAGTGAGTGAGTTGGGTTTAACGCCGCTTTTAACAGTATTCCAGTCATATCACGGCGTGTCAGCTTAATGTGGGAGGAAAGCCCGAAGTGATGCAGGTCTCAGACGTTTACCACTTCGGTGAAACCCACGAGCACGGGAATGGTGCTGACAAACCTAGAAACATAATCGGGGTGAACCAGGATTTGAACCACAATCATAGGTTTCTGGCGTGCCCAAGGGACGCAACTCTGCACAGCGAATTGCAGCGCCTTAGACGACTGGGCCACCCGTGCCCCCTGTGGAATGTAAGTACACTATATGGACACTTCAGTGTTATATTCGTGTATCTGTAGCAGCTGGTTGGGAAAGAGTCATTTACAGTCATGAAGCTTGAATAAAGGTATGTATTTGTGAAACCTTATTACCCGGTTGGGATGCCAGGTTAGAATTGGTCCCAGCTACCTCTGAGGGTCATAAGAACCTACCAAATAGACTGGGTGGACAGGCTCGGTGACTTGGTTGAAAGCATGCCTCGTACCCAAATGGCGTGGATCATTGTTTGCAATATCAATCACTGGATTTCTGGTCCGGATCACATAGACTCGATTATTTACAGGCCGCCGTCATATAGCTGGACTATTGCTGAGTGTGACGTAAAACAATAGACAAAGACAAATGACATCTTAAGTGGCACTCTTAGAGACTACAAACGACTTTGAGAAACGTAGAATGCCCATACAGGACTTTAGTGCCAGAAAGGATTCTGCCAGGTCATGAAGTTAAATCATATAAATTAATTCATAGAGTTTTGAATTCATGTATACAAGTTTTCATTACATCTTGTATTGTTCTGATGTAGATGTCTATTTGCCAATGGGCCTAGTTTTCTGAAAAGCAGGAAGCAACCCTGTCTTTGTTGTGCTCGTCTTGTCTTCTTTTGTTATCCCTGTAAGCTGGGTAAGTATAGGTTCCAAGCACTCTATGGGTTCTTGTAAGACCAAGAGTCATTACACTGGTCGGCCGGTCAGGCTTGATTACATTGCAGTGTACCACCACATTGTGGAACGGTGCTCATAATATCAATCACTGGTTTGTTTTGCCGAGACTTGATTATCTACAGGCTGTCAACATAGCTTGAATATTGTGATGTGACATAGTGTGGTGTACAAACAAACAAGCTAAATATTCATGCAGTAATGACAGACACATTTCTTGATTTGCTGATGAATTTATTGTTTTGTGTAGCCAACTGTTCAGCGTCTCTGGCTTATAACGGAAACCATAAAACAGAACAATAATGGGTGCCAATAGCATGTATGCAAAAGACCTATTGTGTAAAGAAGGATATATACCGAAAAAGACAAAGGTCTTTACACAGATTTAGTTTAGGGATTACAGCTGCATTAGTTGAAACCATTTCTCACAATTTCTATGAAATGAAGTACCACATTATCTTTCAGGAAATGACATATTTGTATATTTAACATGTTAAAGTGAGGATACACATTTGCCTTTACAGACAAAAAATTAGAATAGCAAATTTTAAGTAGCTTTGGACACTTTTCATTATTTGGCAAAAGAATAACACCCTCTTTGCTCCAGGCTGTGTGCCACAGCTCAGATGTCTACTTACCTGGAAGTTTTTTTATAAGACTTTAGTCATAATTAACTGACTTTAATAGTCTCCACAACACACCCCCACCCACCCCAAAATATTGACTATAACATTGATTTCTTGCATCTCAAGCAATTAACAACATAGACACCAAAGCCAAAAAAATCAGTTGTCAAGATACTAGTTTACTTTCAACACTGTAAGGTAGGGATAGTTATCTCAACATAGATCAGGTGCTCCCAGTGCATGTAACTAACACGTTTTACATGAGTTATTCTGCGGTCATCCGTATTCACAGACATGTATTAGTAGAAGCAGTTCCAGCAAAATACGAGTTCTTATGTTAGTTTTAATAAATATAATTTCAAACCAATAACAGTTTATACACTGTTATATAAATATATATTTTCAACTTCCAGTCTTTGATAACATCAAGGACTTTAAGCAGGTCTCATTACAGAGTTATCCCCCTTGGATCAGCAGGCACAAAAAGCTGACTTCAATCGTACTCCATTGATCAATATGTACTCTAAGCATTTGTAAGAACATGAAGACTTCGAATGGAATCATGACAAATAAACAATTCAGCAGTCTGTGCACAACCTTGTTTCTTTGTATATCAATAATTTTGCATAGACTTTTTGAATGTAATCTTCATCCCAGTAGCTTCTAAAATGCTATAAAAACTGTGATGCACATGAAGTAAATGTATATTCCCGTCTTCTAATTTTGGCCATTAAGAATACATAAAAAATTTGCAAAAGCAATATTGTTTCTTCTAAAAGCACATTGTTGGGATGAATGGTGGAAGAAAAAGTATGTCTTTGGTCTTAAATAAAAAATGAACACAGTCAAACACTTGTAAAATGAACTCATCTAATCCTGATGGTTGTGATGCACGTCGTTGATCTACAAGTCAGTCTATTGGCTGAAGGAATGTATTTGGCAACTGATCAAACAGTCTAACTTTCAAAACCATGAGGTGTGCACCGAACTGATTCAACTAATTTTCAACATCCAAATTTATTCTACCAAGAATTTGGGAAATACTTGATTCTAAGTGGTCATTCAGAGGTATCAAATCACAACGACCACCTCTGATTGCAATAGCCGATATGACGACCGTATCACCTGGAAGATAATATTAATAGAAAATTTCTTCTTTCTCAGTCATTGTCAATGTGTAGTTAATATGAGACTTGAAGATAGATATGTTAATAATCTACAACACATTTGTCAGCAAGTGAGATTTAAACGGTTTATACTATATCACATCATCCTGCTATGTGTAATAGCGATAACACCATTGGTTTATTGTGAAAGAATCTAACCAAATTGCGAGTTCACTTCTGAAGGATAAATACAGAGTCTGTTACTTTTAAACTACTCCAACCATAGAGAAGAGGTGGAAATTGACTCCAAACACATTCAAGCCCACAGGCATGGGCGGATACAGCTTTTTTTAAAAGGGGGGGTGCACAATTAAGATCTATTTATTGTCTTTGGTGGTAATTTATACAGAAATAAAGATTTTTTTCGAAATAAAAGGGGTGGGAGTGGGGGGTGGTGCGCACCCCCCCTCTGTATCCACCCATGAAGTGGGATCATTTTCTGGTTGCCCTGCATTATGTTCTTTCATGATCCATAAAATACATTCAAATATTAAGGCTCATTAAGAATAATTCACTGCGCTGGCTATGTGATGCAGTTTCCACTGCCCAAAAATTGACAGCATGTGTCAAAAAGCTAACAGGCCCTACGAGCTAGTATCATTATAATTTTATTTCTACTAGCGTTAATTTTCATCTCTGCCATAGAGCCAGCCTGTTTACTCTGATACAAGGACCCTTTCCTGCCTAATGTCCCTTCAGAGACTTACAATCTGTACAATTACTGAAACAAAAACTATGTGAAGCTCTCTCTGAAAGCAAGGCACACCAAGCCATGATGTGTTAAGCATCTTCCCACTCTTGCAGACACCGCAGCTTTATACGTATAAAACAACACTAACATGAACACTAAAATAATTGCTCTGTAGCATCTGCTTATGAGAAATATATTCATGAACATCTGTAGTGGCTGGTTTCACAACTCGATTGAATCTCAAATGACATTAAAAAACAGTAATTGGATTATATGCAGTTTTGAGGTAATGCAGCACAATTTGAATAGCTTTCCCAATTAAATCTCTGTACAGGTAAAATATAGCTATATTAAGTATGCATTGGATGAATTATATGGTTCATAGAAATTTATTAAAAATATCAGTTCATTTTTTCACTAACCTCGGCACAATATAAGAAATATAGACTTCAGAATAGCCCAAGAATTGCACTTTTGTACTGTTGTGTATTTGTTCAAAACTGGCAATTAATTTCTCACACTTTCAAATAATCATACACTAAAATACTCCTATTTTAGGAAACTGCGACATTGTCTCTCCAGGACTCTCAGAACAAATAATTTATTGTATACATTATTGCACATTCAGTGAATGTAAACAAACCACTGTCATAAGACGATCAATATATCAACAATACTTTGTAAATACAATGTAAGGTATTACTACCTTTCTGATTTGATGCTTTCAGAATTAAAAATAATAAATGGCAAAAATCTCTGTCCTTTCGGGATTACTTGCTTATTATCGAATGCACTTGCTTCCTGTCATTTCACAACTTTGCTGCCCCCTAATTTTGAAAGGCCATATCTGGCTCACCTCTGGCTATTCATTAAAATGTGAAGAACTTGTAAAAAAATGATTATTGTCATTTATGAACATGAAATAAATTTAGGTATTTTCAGACTTTTAACTGTCAATTATAACAAGATAGCCACATGTTCACCTTTCTCCTGAACAATAACGTCTATGCAGACAGAGCCAGACATATTATTTACGGAGGTTTGTTCAATTTCCCAGGTGTATGGACAATTCATATATACAGATTCACAGAAGCAGTTTCAAATACAGCAGACACATAATCTTTCATAAACCCATGCTTCATGTCAAATACTGACAAACCTATCTTCAACAGTAGTCAGTACTGCATAACACTGAACCTAATATGCACTCACACCATCTGCGATTGCAAAAACAAATACCTCAGGCTGCTACTCATACCTCACAAAGACAAACATCTCTGCCACCTCAAACAAGGTTGTTTCCAGTAGACAAATAGACTTACAAGACATCAAATGCGTTCTCCCACAACTAACTTTCTGGACTTGCGCTAAAAAAAAAGAATCTTCTTGTATCGAACTTGTAGCTTGTGTGCTACGACTCATAACACCCTACATAGAACAGTCCGGGTGGTCAGATAGTCTTCTGGAATGGCCCAGTGGATAGATACATAAAGCGCTTTTAGTTCTACGACTATCATAGGTGTAGCATCAATTTGTAACTCCCACTCTTTACATAGACGTACAACTGCTGTAGAGTTTACCGGTAGATCATTTTAAGAATGGGGCCAAGAAACATTAGAACACAGGACCCAATAATATACAGAAGGATTGAAATTAAAATTTGTATTAAAAAAAACATGACTCTTCCATTTTGTAACCCTGACGAAACTGGAAACAACCTCTTTCATCAGTCTCATTGACTGCTGTTCCTGGTAACAGAGCACAGTATGAATACATGAACACATCTACACTGAAAGCACTTGTGGTGACTACAGATATGCATAATCCTTCTCGTCCTGCTTCCATCATGGAAGGACCAGTGTCCTGGGTCCTTCAATACAGGACTGCAGTCCTGTTCAATGGAATCTTGTGATGTCCCCGGTCCTCCAATACGGGACTGCAATCCCATCTTATTGAATCTTGTGATGTCCCCGGTCCTCCAATACGGGACTGCAATCCCATCTTATTGAATCTTGTGATGTCCCCGGTCCTCCAATACGGGACTGCAATCCCATCTTATTGAATCTTGTGATGTCCCCGGTCCTCCAATACGGGACTGCAATCCCATCTTATTGAATCTTGTGATGTCCCCGGTCCTCCAATACGGGACTGCAATCCCATCTTATTGAATCTTGTGATGTCCCACATCCTCCAATTCAGCGATTCTAAGATTTGTCTGTTGCTCTAAGTGCTTGAGTTGACTGAACACTGGACCTAGCAACACACCTAGCAACACAGCAAGGTCAAGTATGTCCAGGGACATTTGTCTTGGCCTTCTTCACACTGCACAACCACTTAATAATTCGTGCATTTCGTTCAACTACTGATGTATTGAGTGTCTTGTCTGTTGCGTCAGTGTCCGAATGGGCTTTCTCACTGCGTGACACCCCACTACAAATGCTCCTTGTATCAGGAGAATCTAGTGAACTCACACTTTCAAACATTTCAAATTCTTTCTTTCCCTGAACTTCCTGCAGCCGCAACATGGGGTCTAACACATTTCTCTCGAGTCCCATTTGATTGAAGAATTTTTCTAAATCAGCGCTTGCTCTTGAATACCGTGAACTCTTATCTGAGGCTACAGAGCTATCCCGCACATGCCGACAGTTTAAATCAGAGTGTGAGCGGTGCACAGGTGTGCAGGTGCTCTCCACATTGACCTCAGCGCCCACATCAGCCTCACCTGCCGTAAGTGTCGCCTGAGCCGTCACCAACTGAAGCACTTTGTCCCCTGCCATCTCACCCAGGTTCTGACATGAGAGACTGGTGCGAGTATCTCGTGATCTTGACACACCAGAATTACCCGATTTACTCACATTGATATCAACACATGGTACCCTTCGGCGGGGGGAGGTGTTGGAGATTTCTGAGGCTCTCTCAGACATATTGATTTTTGCTGGCACTGCTTCAATGGGCTTGTGTGGTGTGCGTCTGCTCGCTAGCCGATTACGTTCCTGCTGCTGTTGTGGAGTATCTTCACCGGGGATGTCAGGGTTGCCATCACCATCCACGTTGTCCTTGCCATCGTTACTGTTACAATCTATCAGATGGTGCAGATTGTACTCTGACTTGGACCGGGGAGGCTGGGTAGTCGTCACCTGACTTGTGCATCTGAAATGTATCAGTTAAAGAGTGAATCAATAAAATGTCAATAAAAGTCAATTAGACAAGCAGTCCAATTACTGCTGGACAAGTAGAACCAGATACCCATCATTATGAAGTTTTTATTTCGTCTGTCATCAATATTGTACTGTCCTAACTGCAACTTCAAGAACAAAACCCAGGTAACTGGCAATCAGTAATTGACAGACACTTCATAAATCCTCACATCATTTCTGATACTCGTGTCTAAAATCCAATTCCCACGTCTGTTCTACTTGTCAATATTTGTTCTGTTTGCCAAGTCAGGTCCTCATTGACTGTAGAGCTCATTCAGCCGAAACCAATTTCCATTCAATGACCGAGTTACAGAAGAAGTACGTCCCTAGGCTGGAGACCCAAACATGAAATATCATACGCTTTCTATGGATAAACTTACAGCAGCAAATATTCAATTACTAGCATATATTTCAGTTATACATGAAATATGAACAGCCCTTTTTCTACTAAATTTAAATTTCAAATATTGTTATAAATATTATATTTAGGATAACACTTTCTGAGTAAAGTACAGATTCTCCTACTTTTGGGGGTTGAGTCCCGTGCGGGATTCGAACCCACACTGCCAGGAGTACACAAAGTATGTGAACTAGACTACCAGTTGTCGGACTTTCATTTTGTGGAAGCCTTGGTGGCTGAGTGGGTTAGATTGCTGACTTTGTGTGCTGGCGATTAGGTGCCTCACTCTGGCAATGTGGGTTTGAATCCCACATGGGAGTCAACCTCAAGAATCTGTTCTCTAATGAGAAAGTGTTATCCCAAATATAAAATTTGTTACATTTGACCACTTTCTAAATGGCATGGTGAGTTCATTAAAATTTTGTGTCCGGAAAAATAAATGTCAGTTTCATCTTGATTTGATAACATTTTATGCTAAAATTTAACTTTCAAAATACAGTATGTCATGCTGGATGAATACTACATTTTGACGGCTTCATAGGACAATTTTCCTTATGATTATAATTTTCAATTAAATAAATCAGCTGAAAGTATGACATACTTTTTACTGTTCAAAATAAAAGAATAATCACACCACAGTTGAAAAGATCAATGTTACCTAAGACTTGATCATATCACTGACACACTCACTCTTTAGAAATCAATACAGCATTAAAGTCTTGTTTCCCCTCAAAACAGAGGGTTCTTTCTGAACATGTATTACAAAGAGCATCTTTAGAGCAGGGCTCTTTATCATGTGCCTGATCTTCAACACAGACACTCTGATGTAGCAGTGCAAATAAACACAAGCCAAGATCAGCAGTATATGAACCCCCATTCGCTGTCGGGATCGAGAGATATTACGTTGGAGAGATTCCAGGCAGGGAGTATTGGTTTTCTACAGGGAAAACCCATTTGAAAGATGGGATAGAAATCTCTTCACAGTGTTAACAGGAACTGATAGATCTATGCTCTGAATGACACAAATAGCAAATGCTCAATCAATGATGGACGACTGCAAGCTCGTACCTGTAACACTATTTAGGGCTTTATGCTGACAAAACTCTCTGATTAATAGAACTTGATTAAAGCTTCAGAGAGGAGACAGTGCATGGAGGGGTTTACGCAATGCACAGCTTTATTACAGCTCTATTCAAAATGTAATTGTAACGCGCACAGACGAACAAGCGGTCAATAGCGTGAACATCGATCCAAAACCACCAGGGTATGATGACACAGTCAGGTCACTGATGGTGGAGTCAGTCAATAACAGCCGCCATAGTGACCAACCATGTCATGTAAGGATGGTCTGCACTAAGAGTATTTATCTTTTACTAAGATAGTTATTCCTAAAATTTGAAATCTTTCTGTCCAAATAAAAAAAAGGGGTCAGCATGCATTGTCGACTTGTTAAGCACAGCGACAAATTCCCATGTTACTATAGAGGCATATAGAGACATTGTTGACCATGTCCACAGTTTCGCATAAAAACATAATTAAAAAATTTGAACTTTTAAAATATCTTAACCACATATGGATAAAATGTTTAACTTAATAATTTTAACATATTTATGTCATTTTTTTAATTATTCAATATGTTTCTTCGCATGAATTATGTGCTTTTATACATTTCCCTCTATTTCTAAAGTGCAGCATGATTTAATTGATAACGTCACACAGTGCTATGATGTTAACAGTATATATAGCCGTGACGTGGCACGGCTCCCATTGAGAATTACTGGCAGCAATACTGGACATGATGGAAACGGGAAATTACTTCCCTTCTCATTTCATAAATAACCTGGTTTCTTGGACAATTAGATTTTGGTCTCTGATTCTCAGTGTTGCCACTTGATATCTTCAATAGATTGACTTAAGTCAGGTTGACAGCGACAAATTCCCACGTTACTATAGAGGCATATAGAGACATTGTTGACCAGGTCCACAGTTTCGCATAAAAGCATAATTAATTAATTTGAATTTTTAAAATATCTTAACCACATAACTTAACCACAGTTTGAGTCGTGTATCACAACCCACACAGGTGGACATCGTTTGGTTGTGCTACATGCATAAGGTACTGGCGATCTGGTCTTCACAATGCCTGGTAGTGTTTGTGGTAATTTGGATTGCCCATTTAAGTTTCTGAGGTAAAATATTCAAACTTTCTTTCTTTCTTCAAGACAAGTATGTCAAGTCCGGCATTTGATAACTCTACAAAACCAGTATGTCAAGTCTGAAAGTTGATAACTCTACAAGCCAAGAATGTCAAGTCCGGCAGTTGATAACTCTACAAGACAAGTATGTCAAGTATGCCAATTAATAACTCTACAAGACAAGTACAGTGATCCCTCGCTATTGTGCTCTTCGATAAAGCGCTACCTCAGTTACTACGCGCGGTAACGCATGGCTCCCAAAATTTATGTACACTTTTAATACTGAGAGTTTTACACAGACATGATTGTATTGTTGTTCGTTGTTCATTTGCACATAACGCTTCTCATTGCATAATCAACCGTTTATCGCTGAATGGAGTTCTAATCTGTTTGAAAACATCCGCAGCAAGTCCCGGAAATACGATTGTTCTACTAGTTAACTTTTCACACTATACATCCTTTGATCTTAGAAGCGATGCATGCAATAAAAGAGAACCACAAGCGAAGTTTATATTCTTAATTAGTGGGCAATCCAATTTTTAGGCGACACTATCAGCTCACATGTAGTTGCTGTCACAACACGGCGGTCATTCCTTTGATTCGGATCAAGTAACCGTATCAAACCAATTAATCTTGTTTGAATGTGTATCTATATTTGTATGAATGTGTATGAATGCGCATAGTGCTGGTCAAAACTCTTGTTTTAAGCAACATGACCAATCAATGCCATTGAAACACTCTGTACTTGTGTAATAAATTGTGATTGGCTCTTCACTCATAGCGTCTGTTACTACCATTATCGATCGATATTTTCATGTAAGTAGACTACATTCACATTGAATGTGACAACATAATGGATATATATTTTTACACTATGAACGGTAAACAACTTGTATCATTGCAATGTGCAAGACAAGGCAAAGATCGTGAGATTGGCAGTTGATAACTCTACAAGACAAGAATGTCAAGTCCGGCATTTGATAACTCTACAAGACAAGTCTGTCAAGTCTGGCAGTTGATATCTCAAAAGACAAGTATGTCAAGTCTGGGAGTTGATAACTCTACAAGCCAAGTATGTCAAGTATGACAGTTGATAACTCTACAAGACAAGAATGTCAAGTCCACCATTTGATAACTCTACAAGACAAGTATGTCAAGTCCGGCAGTTGATAACTCTACAAGACAAGTATGTCAAGTATGACAGTTGATAACTCTACAAGACAAGTATGTCAAGTATGACAGTTGATAACTCTACAAGACAAGTATGTCAAGTATGACAGTTGATAACTCTACAAGACAAGTATGTCAAGTCTGGCAGTTGATAACTCTACAAGCCAAGTATGTCAAGTCTGGGAGTTGATAACTCTACAAGCCAAGTATGTCAAGTATGACAGTTGATAACTCAAAAGGACAAGTATGTCAAGTATGACAGTTGATAACTCTACAAGACAAGAATGTCAAGTATGGCAGTTGATAACTCTACAAGACAAGTATGTCAAGTCTGGCAGTTGATATCTCAAAAGACAAGTATGTCAAGTCTGGGAGTTGATAACTCTACAAGCCAAGTATGTCAAGTATGACAGTTGATAACTCTACAAGACAAGAATGTCAAGTCCACCATTTGATAACTCTACAAGACAAGTATGTCAAGTCCGGCAGTTGATAACTCTACAAGACAAGTATGTTAAGTATGACAGTTGATAACTCTGCAAGACAAGTATGTCAAGTATGACAGTTGATAACTCTACAAGCCAAGTATGTCAAGTCTGGCAGTTGATAACTCTGCAAGACAAGTATGTCAAGTATGACAGTTGATAACTCTGCAAGACAAGTATGTCAAGTATGACAGTTGATAACTCTACAAGCCAAGTATGTCAAGTCTGGCAGTTGATAACTCTGCAAGACAAGTATGTCAAGTATGACAGTTGATAACTCTACAAGACAAGTATGTCAAGTATGACAGTTGATAACTCTACAAGACAAGTATGTCAAGTATGACAGTTGATAACTCTACAAGACAAGTATGTCAAGTCTGCCATTTGATAACTCTACAAGACAAGTATTCCAAGTCTGCCATTTGATAACTCTACAAGACAAGTATTCCAAGTCTGGCAGTTGATAACTCTACAAGACAAGTATGTCAAGTATGACAGTTGATATCTCAAAAAGACAAGTATGTCAAGTATGTCAAGTATGACAGTTGATATCTCAAAAGGACAAGTATTCCAAGTCTGGCAGTTGATAACTCTACAAGACAAGTATTCCAAGTCTGGGAGTTGATACTCCTGGTGAAAGGGCACATCTCCTACATCTTGCTGTTTTACAATAAACCAACCAGTGCATCAGCTGCGTGTGAGG